CGCAGTTTCAGATAATGAACCAACAAAGCCCTTTAATATCAAGCCTTAAACCTTTGAACGTAACATGGAAGCCCTAAGTATATACCTTGCAACAAGACAAAAGTGCCACTCAACACCATGCAAACCAAACTGCACACCCGGATCCTACAGCTCATGCAGGCCCTTAGCCTGCACGTAGCAGCCCCTGGATGACAACCGACGCTAATCCCCTCGATTTCATCAGGACTGGCACAGAGATCTTTTTATCATTTCCCGTATACGTTGACAGGTTCAACTCTTCGAGCCTGAAATCTGCATTTCGAAGATGGCAGGAGTGTTCCCAAGTTCTACAAACCACGGATTTAAAGTACTTATATAAATGCCAGGTAGCTAGAACAAGCTCCAGATGCTAGTACAGCTCATAACAACAGCAGAGGCACGTAGTACGTACAAACCTTCTCGAAGCACAACGGGTCGCCCGGGAACGGAGTGGCAAGTGCCGTGTCGCACTTGTCCTTCCACTCCTGACACATCTCAACGGCATGCTCGGCCCCAAACCTTGGACCCTCATCTCAGACAACGGCTATCCTTCAGCGTCTCGTGCTTCTTGGTGAAGTGTTCCTCCATTGCAGTCAAGTAGTTGCCGATGGTTGGAACCTGGGATTGCATAGGATGTAACGATTTGGGATTCGGGTTCAGGACTCCTAAGACCAGCCCTGAACCGAAAAGGCCTGAAACCGTTGACTGTTTCCCAAAGATCCCCCAAAGCCCTGAAACTTTCTTGGGGCCCACGCCGCGGTGCCCTCGGCCATCACGCAGGTGGTCGTCGGGTTCGGGAAGACCTCGGAAACTATGGGAAGCTTCGGGGAATACAGCCAAGGAACAGCACTAGTCACTAGCATCTCCTGGCATCTCCTGGCCTGCATGCTTTTGACTTCCGGCGTCTTGAGCAGAGAATGTCAGAGCTGCACACAAAACTGCGAGTTAGGGTTAAGGCCTCAAGCAAGCCGGGTCACGTTGATGCTCTTGTACTGATCACAGATGGCCTTCTTCTCGTTCTCGAAGATTTCTCCTTTGCAAAGCTATGCGCAAATCACGAGCACCAAGCTGCAAACTGAACTGCCTTGATCCGGTAGCATGGAACACCCAACCGCAAATCCCTGCAGAAATCCAGAGCAAGTCCAATGGTCCAAAGCACAAGCGTGTCCCTACGATGGGGGGGGGACAGGCTCTAGCCGAACAGCCCATACACCACCCCTCTAATCAGACAAGAGGTACTAAAGGCGAAAAACCCTCCACCAATCCCCAAAACTCAAACACCCTACGATGCTACGACCCGAAGCCGAAAAATGGGCCGGGCCAGGTGCTCTCAGTGATGCACGTCTGCTTGTAGGTAGACCACATGGTGTCCTCGAGCTACGGCTTTCGAGCTGTAGCTTCGTCGGATGGATTAGAGTCCGGAGGCAACCAAACAACCAAACAACAAGCAACAAAACACATTGCAGAACACACACCACACAACAAGCAACAAACGACCAAAACGACCGCCACCACCACCAGC